TCTCTCTCTCTCTCTCTCTCTCTCTCTGCGACTTTTGCCTTTCGGAAGCCTTCCTACAGCAGGCATCGGGAATGAACCATTTATTTTTCTTATTTCTTTGTTTTTTTTCTTTGTTTTTTTTTCTTTGTTTTCTTCCCGTTTTTTTCGTCTGTCTCACATGGACGTTCGGGATGCCTGCGCCCGGTAGTCCGAGCCTCGACACGGATCGGCGTACCGGTCGGCCGAGGCTCGGACTTGATAGCTGAGCGAGGTACTGGTGGTTTAAGGAAAAGGACCAACGGAGGGTGTACAAAGCAAAAAAAACAATATAGGAACTCGCCCTCGACCCCAATGAATGGATATGGTCTGTCCAATATGGCAAGGGAACATCTGGGGAAAGGCGGTTGCATAACCTCTCAGTTAAAGCTGCTTACCGGATGCTGCGACCAAGAATTAACTTGAGGGACAGGGTGCTGGGGTGAGTTGTGTTGCCCTGTGACCTAGCGGTGGGGGTGTGAGGCTGAGCAGACTCAGGCAGAGAGTATGATTGCGTTGGCGAGCTTGAGTAGGGTTGTTATAGTCTCCTTGACTTTTCTGCAAATTGTCAACTAGGTATTTTTTAGCCAAAAAACATACGATTAAGGGAAGTAGATTATTCGCACGGACGGGTGGGAAGTTCGTAGGGGGGTGTAATAGGGGAAGGGCCTTAGTCTTCGTTAGTAGGTCAAAATGACGTGGTTGGGACGACGCAGGCCGGTGCTGGAGCGAGGTTGTAGCGAGAACCTGGCGGCGGAGCGCTACCGGGAGCGCTCCGCCGCCCGGCGTTTGGACGCGACGGCAGGCCTCGCGGAGAGGGCAGGAACGAGGAGCGGCGGGAGCGCTGCGATGGCAAGATTGACGCGAGGAGGAGGTGGGAGAGGGATCATGGGGTTACGGAGGAGCGTGTCTGGACGTCGTTGGGTAGCGCATCTCACACTAAGGTCTTGGTGGAGAGGAGGAGCACTGTGGGAGGGAGAAAGGGGAGGTAAGTAGGGTTTCACGGGTTGGAGGGAGAGGCCTGCTAGGAAGAAGGGGGAGGAGGAATGAGGGAGAAAAGTCTCCTACAGGTGGGTGACGTCTGCAACGAGGACACCCCCTCATCTCTTCGGGCTATCTGCGAGGGGCGGTTGGGGGGCCCAACGGTTTAGTCCCGCGACGTGGTTTGGTATGCTGTGACGGCAACCCTAGTTGCGGTCCTATATCATCATCGTTTGGTCTATTTAGTTGGTTGAATGAATGTCAACCACAGGCGGTCGAGTTGCTTGAGAAGCCGATGAAGCGAGAGGTGAGGTTGGGAGAGAAGGGGGGTGCTTTTAGGGATGTTAAGGGTAAGTTGTTTTTCCTCTTCAGTTTGACCTTGATGGATTCTTAACGACGAGATTCTCAGATAGTGT